GGAAGCAGCATTAGCTTATCAGTAGACCTGTTTAAGAAGTCCCAATGTAATTAGTGTCTTCATGAGGAAACAAACCCAAATTTTACTTAAAAAGTAAAACATATATTACATTCTATAAGGATTAAAATCAGACAGAATTGTTTTTACAACAGAATTATCAACCAGTCTGATTTGTTCAAGGATTCACTTTGATTGCTTAAATTTGGATTTTTTATTTATTTTTTTTTTTTTTTTGAGAGAGAGAGAGCTGGGGAGAGGGAGAGAGAATCTTAAGCAGGCTCCGTGCCCAGCAGGGAGCCCGATGCAGGGCCTGATCTCACAGCCATGAGATCATGACCTGAGCCAGAATCAAGAGTTGGATACTTAAACAACTGAGCCACCCAGGCACCCCTAAATTTGGTTTGTTTTTGTTTTGTTTTGTTTTTAATGTTTCTGTTTATTTTTGAGAGAGAGACAGAACGTGAGCAGGGAAGGGGCAGAGAGACAGGGAGACACAGAATCTGAAGCAGGCTCCAGACTCAGGGCTGTTAGCACAGAGCCTGATGTGGGGCTCAAACTCACAAGCCATGAGATCACGACCTGAGCCAAAGTCGGATGCTTAACTGACTGAGCCACCCAGGCGCCCCATGGTTTTTTACGTATAACTGCCTCTGACCTGTCAGTTTCCGTGAGAAGGATTTTTTTTTCTTAGAAGGCCACCACATTTAATATAATGTGGTATTCCTTTAATAAAAAATAGGAATTTTGCTATTTTGTACATTTTAAAGCATTAAGAAAGCAATCATGCATTGGTACATTTTTGCAATCACATTGCAGAAATCCTGCAGACATAATGAGACTCCTGTTAAGCACAAGAAATGAAGGCAGTCCATCCACAGGAACCACAGCAAGAGGGGGAATGTCTTATAATGTATTTCAGAATCAGCTGGAGGTTTCTTAAAACATTGACTCTTGGGTTTAACTCCCAAAGTATCTAAGTCAATTGGTCAGAATTCTGGACTCAGAACTAGTATTTCTGATGAGTCCCCATGTAACGGCTGATGGTGATGGTGCAGAGATGAAACTCTGAGGACACGTTTTCTAGGAAATAGGAGGTTGCCTCCCTCCTGCCCCGAGTCCATAGGGCTGTGGATTTATAAACTTCAAGGGATTACAGGCTTGGTTTCTAACTGACATCCCCTGAGTGTCTCTGCAATGAGCAAAGCAGACAAATCAATAAAGAACATTAACAAAAAGGCTACCATATTGAAAGTATTGTACATTCACTGTTTTAATTCCTGAGGATTCTTATGTTCCTTTATATTTTTATAAGTCATATTACTATCTGTAAACCAATAGAAACAGATCTTTTAAGAAAATTATACCCAATTTGTTAAGACCCTTTCCAGAAGTAGAAAAATGTTTCAAAATCACAGAAGGAGTAAACACTCTGTCAAGTACAAACACAGAGAGCTTCTGGCTTCAGGTCTGAAACTTCAGCTACAGGTTAAAGGGAACATAAAATACACACATTCACTGATCTCGGTCTCAAAAGGACTCTTCTGTCCAAAGGAAGCAAGACATTCTACAGACTAAAAGACTAACATACCAGATTCTTTGCCACGTCACACCCAAAAGACAGTAGGTCACCCTCGTCCTGTAATGGGGAATAACACATGGGCTGTGTGCAAACCAGAATCCTAACAAACGTAGCTGAGAACTGGGAACAAAAGTAAAAATACAAAGTCAGGAGAACAAACAGTAAAACAAAACAAAACAGAAACTGAAAGTAAAATTCTGTTGCCACTTGGTATTCACAGTAGAAGCCAAAAAACAGTGCCTGGGAGGTGCACTTTTTAATTGGTTCAGGAAGGTGTATCTATTTGAACAACTTGTTATTCCAAAAATGCCAAAGTACAATTTTCAAAAAAGTTAAAAACAAGATCCTTGGGGCACCTGGGTGACTCAGTCGGTTGTGTTCGATCTTGGTTTTGGCTCAGGTCATGATATCAGGGTCATGAGCTCGAGCCCCCCGTGGGACTCTGGGCCGACTGACAGCGTGGATCCTGCTGGAGATTCTAGCTCCCTCCCCTTCCCCCGCTTGTGTGCACACTCTCTTGCGCTCCCTCTCAAAAATGAACAGGCAGAAAAAAAAAACAAGACTCAATACAAGTCAACCTACTTAACACCTTTATAGGGGAACCAACATGGTTGTCAGGCCAGTTACTAGATCGTTGACAATATTTATTACAGGGGCCACATTCAAGTACTCCAAAGGGGCCGGCTAAAAGGTATGAATGAGGAACGCAGGCATTGACACTCTCTAGAGTGTGGCGGAAGTGTAACATACCTGGTCTCAAGGTGGCATCTGTTGAACATCTTGGCTAATCGTTTCCTTGTAGGAATGCTTGCTCATCCCTATCTGTAATTTTTTTTTTTCACACAAGCTGTTCTGGATTTTAATGTGAATCTTCCTGTTTTAAAGTGTTGGTAACTAATTCAGTTGGGGGGAAAAAAAAAAACACCGTTCGAGCCAAACAAAATACATCTTCAGGCCAGAGATGGCCTGAGGGCCGTCGCTGTGCAGCCTCTGCAATAGATGTTACTCATGTAACATTATAGCAAAGAAAAAGTTCATCCAAAAGCTGTATTGACAGAAAGTTTTAAAAGAGTTCTTTTTTTTTTTATTAATTTTTTTTTCAACGTTTATTTATTTTTGGGACAGAGAGAGACAGAGCATGAACGGGGGAGGGGCAGAGAGAGAGGGAGACACAGAATCGGAAACAGGCTCTAGGCTCCGAGCCATCAGCCCAGAGCCTGATGCGGGGCTCGAACTCACGGACCGTGAGATCGTGACCTGGCTGAAGTCGGACGCTTAACCGACTGCGCCACCCAGGCGCCCCTAAAAGAGTTCTTTTTAAACTGTTTACTTGCAGTTTTTTTCTGAGTGTGAAAAAAAAAACCCAACATGACGTGACAGTGTTTTGTCACCTGGTCACCATGCGTTTCCATTTTAAGTTCTATCCTTGGTCCACTTAAAGTACAGTTACTCATTTTCTGGCGATCTGTTTCACAACGGTGTGAATATCGTTAACACTACTGAACTGTATATTTGAAAATGGTTAAGATGGAAAATTTTATGTCGTGTTTTTTACCATATATACGCACACAGACACACATTATTGAACGTTTAGTGAATTTATTCAAATGAAATTATTCATTTTAAATTGTCTTTGGAGGGTCGTATTGAATGTAACAGGAAAGCCTGGAGACAAGGAGGTACTTTGAAAGACCTGTAATGGCCTTGTTAAAAGATCATGAGAACTTGTTTAGGGAACAACACTTACTAAGGGGAATAGTGATCAATTTGAGAGACATTCCTGGAGCTGAATTGGGAGTATTTGGTAAAAAACTGAATATGGGGCTTGAGGAAATAATAAAAAGATTAAGGTTTCTTTCCTGGTAACAGACTATGCCAATAATTAAGTTAGAAAACAACACTAGATTCAAGGGAAATTAGTTCAGTTTTAGACAAGCCATGGGATTTCAAGATTGAAGGAGACCCAGAGGTCACCAAGTGCAACCATCCCATTTTACAGATGTGAAAGTCAAGGCCCCAGGAGAGGAAACAATGCCCTCGATGGCACAGTTTAAAATCAGAAGCAGGACTTTACGAGTTCTAGACTCAAAGTTCGTCTTTCCCCAGTACACAGAGTGTCTGCTCTGACACATGGTTCGTTCAGTTCAGAGACGAACTTGTGGGGTGACCCCCAGGCTGCTGCCACATGTGAGTGAAGGAGGCCCGCAGATCTCTTCCAGACATGGGGTATCAGGCCTGGTCTCTTGCTCTCTGAACTCCAGTGTGCCTCTCCTCTTTGTAGCCTTTTCTTTAGTTTGAGCTGCTTGTAGGACCTGGAAATAGAAATGGTTTGTAGACATTGGTAATTTCATGCCTGCAGTTCAACATAATCCTGTCGGAATTATGGGAATTCAAAGGAAAGGTTGGGGCTACACATGGAGATTTGCAAGTTTCCGTTTCTTGAAACATTGTAAGGAATTATGAATATGTAACTATATAATAGCCTAAAGAATTTGGACTTATTAGAGGTTCTCAACCTTAACCATACATAAGAATCAGTAGGTCTGGGGGGGGGGGGGGAGCCACTAAAGTAACATTATTCTTTCTTCATGTTTGTTTATTTTTGAGAGAGAGACACACAGAGTGCGGGTGGGGGAGGGCAGAGAGAGAGGCAGACACAGAATCTGAAGCAGGCTCCAAGACCCTAGGCTGTCAGCACAGAGCTCGACATGGGGCTCGGACCCACGAACTGTGAGATCATGACCTGAGCCAAAGTCAGACGCTTAACCAACTCAGCCACCCAGGCACCCTAAGTATCATTTTTTTAAAGTTCCAAAGGTTTCATGTGCACAGTTAAGGATGCTTTAAGCAATGCGAAACCATAGAAGGATATGAAGCAGGGATGTGAGATAATCAAATGTGCATCATTTTAAATGTAATTCCAGCTTAAACGAGTGGAGAGAGACTTGGAATAGTCCAGGAAAGAGATGGTAATTGTTAATGACTGTATAATATTTCACTGAGTTAATTTTCCATAATAATTCTCTGCCTTACAGCATGTATGTTTCTAGGTGTAGTGTGTGCGTGTGTGTAAATTCACCGTCCTCTCCAAAAAGTGCCATCTTTTTGTTTGTTGTTGTTGTTATTCTTTTTAACTATTTTGCTAGGACAGATTCCAGAAGTAATGCTGTTGAGTCAGAAGAAATGAGTAGTTTGGGCTCCTGGTGATGTATTACCATAATGGTTATAGTCAATTTACAGTGTTACTGTCCATGTGGTGGGCCAAATGCGAACTTTAGAATCAAAAGAAGAAAAATTATTGGGACTTTGATTAGAATAATTTTATTTTGAAATTAGCAAAAAAATTATCAGAACAATATTTTGTTTATGCTATTTTACATGATTTAACTGAATATTTAAAAACTAAATTTATCTTTAACAGATTGATGAACTCCCAGAGGGAGCTGTGAAGCCTCCAGCAAACAAATATCCTATCTTCTTTTTTGGCACCCATGAAACGTAAGTCAACAAAACAACCTGAAATTTCAGCACCTCTAATTTGGGTCTACGAGGCTACGTTGTTTTGTTTATACCTGGTCTTATTAAAATGAGCACAATTATATAAAATCGGCCAGCTTAATAATGTATTTTTCTTAATGTGAAGATTTTTCATTCATTTTACTTACGAATGTTATTTCTGTGTAAATGTTGGACATTACCCAGAATCTCCTTTAGGACACCTGTAAGTCTTTGGGTGGTCTCCTTCCCACTCCCAGTAATTTCTTTTGTTGCTCTTGTATATTTCCCTTCTGGAGAGACTTCCTTCATTCATATTTCATACAACAAACTTAGGTTCTCTCAGGCCCTTTCAATTTGTTGAACCCTGAAGCAAACATACCAACTTAATAAGGTTTTTAAATTGTGTTGGTTAGAGTACAGACTAAACTGCTGGATAAACGGAGCTGAAAATACAGCGTCTTAGATAGCAGAAATTTCTTTCTTTGCTTTGAAACAATCCAGAGGTAGGCAGGTAGCTCAGGGTGTGTAGACTGCTCTGCTCTGGGGACCCAGGTTCCTTCTGTCACTTTGTCCTGCCATCGCCTGGGGTGTTGCCTTGTCTGCTATTTAAAAACAAATGAAAACTGGCTCACCAGCACCTGTACATCTTCCAGGTAGAGGGGAGTGGAGGGTGGTTAGAAAACATGAAGAACAGGACACTTGTGTGTAAGGAAGTGACAAGGAAGTTGCATATGTCACTTATACTTGCACGCACAGCTGTGGCAAAAACCTGGTCCTGTGACCACGTGTTGCCATCGGGAAATGGGAAGCATAGTGTCTAGCTTAGGCAACTGTAATAGGGAAGAAAATTGGAAGGAATAATTCATCATTGAAAGAAGGAAGCTGGTTACTAGATACCGGGAGATGATGGTCAGTCTCGACACACTAAAAACGTGTGTGGTCCGTCACACAAGGACACAAGTGGAATAGGGATTGTATGTGTGGAGGAAGCTAAAAACTGTCATGAGGGGCACCCGGGTGGCTCAGTTGGTTGAGCATCCGACTCTTGGTTTCGGCTCAGGTCATGATCTCACAGTTCATGGGTTCGAGCCCCCTGTCTAGCTCTGCGCTGCCAGTGTAGAGCCTGCTTGGGATCTCTCTGTCTCTGTCTCTGTCTCTGTCTCTGTCTCTCTCTCTCTCTCTCTCTGCCTCTCTCTGCCCCTCCCCTGCTTGCTCTGTCTCTGTCAAAATAAATAAATAAAACTTAAAAATGTTTTCTAAAAAAGAATACCTGTCATGAAATCTTACAAATCTCCAAATTCAGGGTCATCCCTTGTGCTTGTGTTCATTTGAATGCAGTAGGGCCAGGCGGGAACTTTTTCTTAGCTTGCTGCCTCTGCCACTCTGGTACCTTGTTCATGCTCGCCTCGAAAGAGAGCTAGCCAGGGGAGAGGGGGCCCTTAAGATGTATTTATTTCTTGTCTTCGTGTGAGAAATTGTTGCGTTTCTTTCAAGAAGTTAGTTTTATCCTTTTCTGGTTTTTATCTAGTAGTCATTGTGCAATATCCAGCTTACCATGATTTCCTCCTTAGAGAGGTTGCTAGAAAGCTTAGAAGTAAATGTTTTATCTATAATAAGCGCAGAGGGCTTCGTGCTACGTATTTTTACATTCGCCTCATTCCTTTCTCCATTTTGCATCTATACCACTGCTTTGCGTTTCCTCTGAGACCGGTTTCCAAATGATTTGATTGTATTGCTGGGACCTGGCAGGATTTAAGAAACAAGATTATCCCTCTTCGTTATATAGGACAAATCAACCATTTACTAACATTGTGCGGTCACTTCTCTTAGTAAACATTTTCTGGGCATTCTTTAAAGCACTATAAATAAAGAGCTTACCACCTGGTGTGCAGCTGGTGAGGGTAACAGTCATCCCAGTGAACAGTGTGAAGGGTTTCCCGGAACCGATTCTTAACGCATTACTAATCTAAGTCAACGGCATCCTTCCGAGGCTCTGTTCAGTAAAAGTAGTTCTACCAAGGAGCGATATAATATAGTCCACATGTTCGTTTTTTACTGGTTAGATTATACAGAGGTAGGTTTCGAAACATTTAGAGGAAAACTAACTTCAAAAAAACCTGCCAGGACTTTGTTGCAGCAGAGCATTTATTAGGGATCGGGTGTCCCTGAACCTGAGATTATACGCCCTGGCAAGTACCTAATGTTCAGCCCGTCTGTGGAGGCAGAGTACACGTGGGTGTTGCTCGCTCCTGTAGACACGGTGCTTAGCACAGTGCCTGGCCAGTGGGAAGTGCTTAAAATAATAGCTGTTGGATGAATAAAATTCACTAAATGAAATAAAGGTGAGGAACTTCACAAGAAAGCTGTGTGCAGGCCAGCCAAGCACCCCTAAGCAGACTAGAATTTTCCTCAGAACATGGCCTGGAATTTATTCTAACGCCCAGACAGTTAGGTAATTGGACCCCCAAATTCTTCTGTTCCATATAACTTAACCCCAGTAGTTTTAGTCTGGACAATTTTCAAGACAGCCTTGGCCAGGACAAAAAAAAATAACATCCTCAGAGCATGGAACTTTGAACAATTTTGTTTTCTGGCCTACCCTTTAAGGTTTGTAAAACATGCAGGAAAATTAACCAATTGGGAGGAGATTTGATTTGTGGAATTATCTGTCTATATTCTAGGAAAAAACATTGTGTATCAACAAATAAGTAGTTGTTTCAGAACAGTTCATTCGGGGTTCTTCTTTCTGGCAACAGCTGGCGTGGCCAGTAGCATATTAACCCCGCCTCCCGTGGCAGCACAGAAATACAGGCAGGCCCTGGCGAGCATCAGTAGCTGACGCGAACCTCGGGCAGCTTAGCCCGCAGTTAGCTCCTGTACGTGGCGTCAGAGGCCGGAGAAAAGTCAAAAGCCATGGTCTAACAATGCAGGACACATTTCTCTAAAAGGAATATCGACAAAATCCATTTCTTTCTCCTGTTCAGTTTGTCAAGCAAGACACTGACATCCTTTGATTAAAATGTCCAGTGACCTGCAAAATTATGTCTGGATTCAGTGAGATAGAGTCATGTTGACCAAGCTGTCAAAGGTCAAGGAAGTTGTGGTGGTCGGGGGCAGAAAGCTTCCTTGGGTGTTTTTATCAACTTGAAAACTTCGATCAGCTAGGCAGTGAGGAACCAGTACGAAGCCCCAGTCAGAAAGTGGAATTTATAACACTCAACAGTAACCTATTAAATAATAGTCTCAAGGTTTCCAACATCTCTGCAGATAATTTCCAAATATATACCTCCAGCTCGCAATTTTCCCCTGAGTGCCAGAATCGCCTCTCCGGCTCCCTACTTGACCTCCTCACTTGGATGTCAGACCGGGGTTTCAAACTTAACATCGAAATCTGAGCTTTTCACCCTCAAATCTTGTTCTCTCAAAAATCTTTCATTCCAGGGGCACCTGGGCGGCTTACTCGGTTGAGCGTCCGACTTCGGCTCAGGTCACGATCTCGCAGTCTGTGGGTTCAGGCCCCGCGTCGGGCTCTGTGCTGACGGCTCGGAGCCTGGAGCCTGCTTCCGATTCCGTGTCTCCCTCTCTCTCTGCCCCACCCCTGCTCACTCTCTTGTCTCTCTCTCTCAAAAATAAACATTAAAAAATTCTTTTATATAAAAAAAAAAAATCTTTCATTTCAGTAAACGCCAAATCTGTTCTTCTCATTTCTCAGTCTACAACCTTGGAGACAACCTCAGTTCTCCATCCCTCTCACGTGCCATCTCCAGCCCCTTGACAAATCGTGTGAGCCCTTTCCTGAGAGTGAATTCAGAAACCCGCGCCTTCCCACCGACCGCACGGCTTACGCCCTGGCCCAAGTCACCGGCATTACCTCAGTGGCCCGATTTGTCTCCCTGCTTCTGCCCCAGTGCCCTCTCCTTCGGTCTGTTCTCAGCACGGTGGCCAAAGGGATCCTGTTAGAACACAAGCTGTCACTTCTCTTCTCAGACCTTTCGTGGTTTCTCGTCTGACCCTGAGCCTCCATGGCGGCCCTCGAGGCCCACCTGATCTGTGTCCCGACGCAGCCCCCTCAACGGCCTCCCCTCGCCCTGCCCTCCCTGCCCCCCCTCATCCCAGTCGTGCCGGCCTGTTTCTTAAACTCAGCGGGCGCCTCCCACGTCGGGGCCTTCCGGCCGCGCCCCGCCCTGCGTCCGCGCCGCTCTCCCCCGGGTGACGGGCGGCTCGTTTCCTCGCGTGGATCGCTGCCTCGTCCGCGAGGCCGCCCGTGACCTCAGTGTCCGGGGTGGTAAAGTCCACCCCCGCACTCGCCACCCCTTCCCTGATTGGTTTCTTTTAGCACGCGGTACCGTGGTTTTTCCTTTCCGATTTTGTCCGAACCCCCGCTCGCGCTGCTAGACCGCGTGCTCCCTGAGCTGGGGGCGTTCGTCTGTTCCCCCCGGAAGCCGCAACACCGCGGTGGTGCCTGACTGGTTCGAGGCGTCCGCTCAGGTCGGCCTCACGGCTGGACACGTGAGCCTTAGTTTGGAATGGAAGATTCTTGGGTGTCAGCCGGGATGCGGGCCTCCGCGGTCTCATTCGCCGGGTTGATGTCACGGGTGGTCATGCCGAAGACGCTAGTGTGAGCGCTCCGATCTGTTAGCCAACCGCGGGATTTATTCTGACTGGCTTTCTTTTTATGGCTGTGATTCGTCTAAGGTAGGGTTGAAATTGTGTAACATCGTATCTGTTAGTACTTCTGATTTTTTTTCTTGTTTAGTGCCTCGTTAAGCACCAATGTGATTTTTTAATTTACAGAAAGAACAGTGAATAATTTGCTAATGTGGTGTATAGATTAGCATAAATAAGGCTTAGTTTAAGATGATGATTTAAGTGGTCAAAGGGGACATCTTTAAAACTACCTTTGTGGAGCGCCTGGGTGGCTCAGTCAGTTAAGCTTCCGACTTGGGCTCAGGTGGTGATCTCCCGGTTTGTGAGTTCGAGCCCCGCGTCGGGCTCTGTGCCGACAGCTCGGAACCCGGAGCCTGCTTCGGATTCTGTGTCTCCCTCTCTCTGTACCTCCCCTGCTCATGCTCTGTCTCTCAAAAATAAATAAACTTTAAAGGTTTAAAACTATCTTTGTAACCAAAAGCCAGTTTTAAAACAAAAAGAATTTGGTAATTTAAAAGTAAGATCAGGGGCGTCTGGGGGGCCCAGTGGGTTGAGCTTCCAGCTTCAGCTCAGGTCATATTATCACGGCTTGTGACTTCGAGCCCCACGTCAGGCCCTGTGCTGACAGTTCAGAGCCCGGAACCTGATTCTGATTCTGTGTCTCCTTCTCTCCCCCCCTCCCCCACTTGTGCTCTCTCTCTGTCTCTCAAAAATAAATAAATGTAAAAAAAAATTTTTTTAAAGTAAGATCAAAGCACAGTCTAGAGTTGCTGGTTTATGTAGCCAGCTATCTATTTTTTCTGCTTTGAAGTGTATGTGTAAAACATTTTGTGCTACGTGCCTAACTCAGAGGGTTTATTATACTTTTAGCTTGTTTACTAAAATATGCTCTGACACCTTTGTTGATATTGATATTAAAAATATTGTACCTTTGAAGGTCAAATGTATCCTATTTCTAAAATATCTCTGCAGTGCATTTTTAGGTCCCAAAGACCTTTTTCCATATAAGGAATACAAAGACAAGTTTGGAAAGTCAAACAAACGGAAAGGATTTAATGAAGGATTGTGGGAAATAGAGAATAACCCAGGAGTGAAGTTCACTGGATACCAGGTAATGCTTTGCTTCGTTGTTAGATCTCATTTCTTTGGTTTTTAACTCTCTTTGGGGTCTTTGTTATATGTCCTCTTATACTAGTAGTTACTCTCCATCTATTTGAAATCAGAATTTAGCTCCGGTAGTATTTTCGATTAAATGCAATTCTGTTACTCAAGGGGGTTCAAGTCAAGTGGTCACTGGAAAATTGAGGTTGACAGTCCTTTATTTTGCAATCTTAAGAGTAAGCTGAACCCTTTTAGATTAAAATAGAATGTTTTTTTCACAGTGTCCGTGAAAATTTTTCAAAAATGTAATTAGCCAATACCTTGTTATTTCGTAGGCAATTCAGCAACAGAGCTCCTCGGAAACGGAGGGAGAAGGTGGAAATACTGCAGATGCGAGCAGTGAGGAGGAAGGGGATAGAGTGGAAGAGGATGGAAAAGGCAAAAGAAAGAATGAAAAAGCGGGCTCTAAACGGAAAAAGTCCTACACTTCGAAGGTGCCTGAGAACCGTTTCCATTGTTATTAATGTTATATGCACATTCATTAGATGATCTTTAATTCCTCCATTGTGCACATAGAAATATACTAGCTCTGTGGAGCCTCTGCCTCTAGGGACAGTAATACAGCCAAGGGGATAGGACAGGTGACCTTACACGTGAGGGCAGCTGGCTGTGGACCCTTCAAGGCCGACCTGGCACTGAAAATACTGCCGCTCAGTTGGAGAAGGTCTGTTCTTCAGCCAAGGGGACAGGAGCAGGTGTGCCTCCTACAGTCACCTCCAAATGAGCTCTGAAGACTTTAGGAATATAGGAGACTCAGTACGATTGAGGACAAGTCTAGGTAAATATAAAGATACACCCTTAATCTGTCTTTCTGCTCTAAGGAATGTACACATAATACATATAAATGAAGAGAGGACTCTGAAGGAAACAAGTGGTAGGAGAACGTTCTTTAGATAGAGGGCGAGGCCTTTCTGAAGAGAAGAGGCAGAGTTCTTACTGAGGCCCGAAGAAAGAGCTGGGGGTGGGGGGAGGGGGTGTGTGTGACAGAGCAGCCCAGATGTGACGCAGGAAGAGCCTGGCCTGGCCTGAATTAGAAGAAGACCAGCGTGGTTGGGGGTCATGACCCAGAGGGAGAGGCAGGCAAAGGCTCAGTCATGGAGACTTGTGCGCCACCTTAAGGAATTTGGATTTATTCCCAGTGTGACGGTAATAGGAGTGATGTGATCCTAGATTTACAAATTGAAAGTCTAGGTTTTTCACAGTAATCCAGACATACAGTTGAACAAACTATGACATTGTAAAAACTGTTCACCTTTAGAAACTGGAAGTAAGATAGATAGATCTTTGAAAACCAGAGATTGGCACAAGTTTCACTATAACTGGCCTGTGACACGATTGAATAAATTACTTCCATTTAGATTCTGGTATTTAGTAGCTGGACACCAGACTTGGGAAACTCCTTAAGAGCCAAGTCCCAAGACTTTATTCGATGATCAGCATTTTCTTTTACAATCTGTAAAGTCTACCCCACAGGCATACAGGTAAAAATGTATGAATACATATTACTTTGCACCTAATGAAAAACATGGTGTTTGCTTTGGATGGGGATACAGTTTGCAAATCACAAAAAAATAATTAGAATTTTCCTTGTCAGACCGTACCTTCCATTGCATTTTTAAGCTGAGTTTTTTTTTAGCATTTTGAATTTCACTTAAACACCCAATCGAATTGGTTTTTTTAAATTTATGATTGCCTGCTAGGCTGTGCAGTGTATTGTACCACCCTCCATTATCTAAGCTACCTGACGTAGTAGCAGCGTTTAATAGTGTGGATATGGGGCTTTTGAGTGTCATTATTTTATTGCTTGTTGTGGTGCCCAGAAGTAATGGGGCTCATACCTAGTGCGGGTAGGTGATTTAAAGCAGTGAAGGGTAAAGACATACTTTACTTACTGCGGTTTCTCTGTGTTCAATTAAGGGATCATCTTTTTTTGCTTTTCCTTCCAGATCACAACTTTCACAAGCACTTAAGAACCGTGACTTTCTTTTCACTTTTTACTGTTTTATTTATTGTCAAAAGAATTATGCACAAACACAAAGACTTTGGAAGAACATAAGTGGTTTTTCATTTTCAGTATTAACTGAGAACCTAGCACAGTGGTTCTCAAACTTCCACCTGCGTCAGAACCATGTGGAGGGCTTGTTAAAGCACACACTGCCCAGCCTCACCCCCTGAATTTCTGTTTCAGTAGGTCTTGGGTGTGGGGTCTGAGAATTAAAGTTTTAGGTAAGGCTGATGGCTCTGATCTGGGAACCACATTTAGAGAAGCGCTTACCTGACGTAACCTCCTTGTTGTCCTTGACTTCCCAAATGTTTCCTTTTTTCCGAATATGGTGATCTTTTCTTGCCCCTGTTTCTTAAAGTTGAATAATCTTCCTTTGCCACTGAAAAGCAGTGGTTCACAGTGAAAAGCAGATTTGAACATAATTGAAGATTTATGTGTATCTCTTTGACAGTAAGTATATGGATGATTCATATATGAGCCATCACAGATCCTGGAAAATTATAGGTCAAAATATTTTGCATGCACATTACTGCATAAAGTAGGGCAAATCAGAGAGCCTCACAGCAGAGTAAACTGATGATGGTGCTAAACTACCAGTAATCTTAAGTTAAAAAACCAAAGGTGGCAACAGTTGGACACAACCAATTCAGGAGCACAGTGATGAAACAGATGAAGGGTCCCTCCCCACAATTACAGGAATTGCCCTGATCTGAATTTGCAGCACAGTAAGAGCTTTTCAGGGTTACCAAATACAGCCTGGGGGCCAGGTTTGTTAGAATGCTGACTGTGGCTCGACAGCAAAACTTGAAGAAAGGCCTGATTCTGGTCTGTGTAATGCCAAATTATAAGGCGTATAAATTCACTCGTGGGGTTACTCATAAGTATCCTTTGTAAGCATTAGAAATTTTAGGGAGTTGTGAATGATTACCTCTAAGAACTGTAGGTCAGAGATTATTATTTGAGAATTATTATTTGAGTTACTCTATTTCGATAGTTATACTGTATTTACTAGGAAAACAAAAAATATTCTGCTTTTTATGTTGTCCTACTTGATCTTAGCTTTAACGGTAGACACTCCATGTTTGGATTATTAAATCTCTGCTTTTCCTTCGTGTGAAAAGTAAAGATGACCTCATTTTAAGCTGACATTTCGGGCTTAGTTGGTAGTTTCAGTTAAGTAAAACAGAAGCAATGTAATTATGTGCTCTATCACAGAGCTAGGAGATACTTTCTCTTTGGGAGTTGTATTTAAAATATTGATTGTCTAAGGAATCTCCAATTTGCTAATCCATTTCTGGAAGACCAAAGGTGACTTGGCCAAACCGGTTTTGCCTCAGCTCTTATTTGCCAGGTGCTTAAAGACTCTTAAAAGTCCTCAAAAAGGACATGTTAGTGAAATGCTACATTTTACTTTCTTAAAGATGCACAGTGGGGCCAGCTTTTGATCCTTTTAATGCTATTCTGCAAAGCAGCTTTGGCTATAAACTATAATTGTATTTTCGTTTTCCTTAAGCTCATCTTGATTTCAAATGCATGGTGATAAAAAAGCGGGGGTGGGGGGGCTAGTTCCCTTGGGTTCTTAAATAACTGTCTGCAGTTTAAAAGAGTAAAGTAGTTTATATTACGTGGATCCTGTCAACCAAACAGCTTCAGCAGATTTCTTAACATGAATAGTCCTATATCATGTGAGATAGTCCACCTCACTCTGTGGACCTGAGTTTCTACTGTAAAACAACGAGGAAGGACAGGACGGCCTTATGGTGCCTTCTCACTCTTAGCTCCTAAGGTGGTGTCCATCCAGCTACTGTTTATTCACGAATAGTGTCCTGGGTACACGAACCTTTATGTACTGCTTTTAACATGGCACCGCTGGAAAGGACTAACAGGTCATGTAGTTCACCTCTACTTCCTTCTCCAGCTTGTTACCCTGAGGCCCAGCGAGGCGAAACGATTCCCCCCGGGCCACCTCGCCCAGCCTCGGCACGCCGCCTGGTTGCACTCGTATATCCGGTGGCGGGGCCACAAAGACTGGCCGTGGGTCAGCCACTTCGGCAGCTCTTACTTGCCCTTGTGCGTCAGGATTTGTCCCTTTGACTCTAACTTCTAACTTGTCCAAACGTTTAGAAATCTTCTAAACAGTCCCGGAAGTCTCCAGGAGACGAAGATGACAAGGACTGCAAAGAAGAGGAGAACAAAAGCAGCTCCGAGGGTGGAGACGCCGGCAACGACACAAGAAACACAACTTCAGACTTGCAGAAAACCAGTGAAGGGGTAAGGACGGCGTGTAACCTCCCTGCCCTTCTAACCTAGAAGATGCTAGAGATCAGCAGTGCTTCACAGTCACTGGTAAACACTGTCCTAGTAGATGGAGAAAGATTCTCAGCCTGATACGTGGATGTGCACGCAGCTCCTGGATGAATGATTAGCTGCATAGAGTCTGAGAACAAAAGAGAGCCAGGTGGGAAGTGCACCTGCCTGTCAGTGTGGAACTCTGTGAACAGTTCATTCTTTTTTAAACTAACTTGAGCAGCTTGAGTCTTTTCTTTTCTTTTTAGTGTTTATTGACTTACTTTGGGGGAGAGAGAGAGAACAGTTGTGCACAAGCAGGGGAGGGGCAGAGAGAGAATCCCAAGCAGGTTCTGCCACTGTCAGCGCAGAGCCCGACCTGGGGCTTGATCTCATGACTGTGAGATCATGACCTGAGCCAAAATCAAGAGCCAGGCACTTAACCGACTGAGCCACCCAGGTGTCCCAACTGGGAGTCTTTTAAAAAGTAAGATGTGAAATACTGAAATTATGAAATGCCATCTCAGAATTTTACAGTTAGATTTATTTTATTATAAGATGAATGGCATGTCCAAAATAGGAGATTTCATGCCGCTGTTTCTTTCCTAAAAGCAGTTTGTTTGTACTTTAATATACCCACAGGGCTTTAAGTATTTAAGGATTCAAACAACACGTGAACATTGGTATTTAAAGTACCGAAGGGGAAGACTTGTCCACTTTGAATTTTTGTTAACTCTTTTTTAAAGTGTAGTTGCCATAGAATATTGTGTTCGTTCCAGGTGCACAACAGTGAGTCCACATGTGTAGGCATTACTGAGTGTTCGCTGTGATGGGCCTGGGTACTGTCTGTCATCAGACAAAGTTGCTACCATATTCCTGACTCTCTTCCCTGTGCTGTACTTTATATCCTCGTGACTTACTTGTGTTACAACTGGGAGTTTGTACATCTTAGTCCCCTTCTCCTGTGTCACCCGTTTCACCCACTCCTCAGCCCCTCCGCCTGGTGGTAGACAAAGTGTGCCTCCTGTATCTGGGACTCTGTTTTGTTATGTTTGTTCGTTTGTTTTGTTTTTTTAGATTCCACGTAAGTGACATCATATGGCATTTGTCTTTCTCTTTCTGGCGTATCTCACTTAGCGTAATATACTCTAGGTCCATCCATGATGTCACCGGTGGCAAGCTTTCATTCTTTTCTATGCCTGCATAATATTCGTGTGTGTGTGTGTGTGTGTGTGTGTGTGTGTGTGTGTGTCCACGTACACACCATATCTTTGTCCGTTCATCTGTCAGTGGACACTTGGGTTGTTTCCATATCTTGGCTATTGTCAGTAATGCTTCAGTTAACATAAGGTTGCATGTTTCTCTTTAAAGTGCTGCTTTCATTTTCTTCGGATAAATACCCAGAAGTGGAATTACTGGTAAACCTGACTTTTTGAAGAACCTCCATACTGTTTTTCAGAGCGGCTGCACCAGTTTACCTTCCCACCAACCGTGCACGAGGGTTCCCTTTTTTCCACATCTTGCAACACTGGTTACTTCTTACCTTTTTGATTCTGGCCGCTTCGGACAGGTGTGAGGTGGTTGCTCGTTGTGGTTCTGATTGGCATTTCCCTGACGATGAGTGGTGCTGAGCATCTCTTCACGGGACTGTTGGCCGTCTGCGTGTCTTCCGTCCTAATTTCCGTTAACCTGTTAGGTGGCGGGCAAGTCCGCCTTCGTAAAAGTGTTATTAGCAAAGGCACATTTTGCCCCTGGTCCTCTTCCGTTAGTCTTTTCTCTTTCAAGACTAATTGGACAGCGGCAAATCACTTTGAAACAATAATCCACAAAATACATTCTGATTGTTCTTCTGTTAGATTCTGGTTTCAGCCGAGTTCTCGACTATTCTTGTCAGTACTGTTTACCTCTCAAGTCCTCCTTCATCCAGTTTTCCAAAATTACTCCCCGGTTACGATTCTAACGGCTCCCTTATCCCTCTTAGCCACTCAGCTTTACTCCTGCCTCTGAGGATCTTTCTTCTTTTCACCTCTTCAGTAGCGAGTCCTCTGTCATCACCTTTGCCAGCAGCCCTCCTGGGAACCATCCCTAACAGTCACCGAGGGCCTGAGTACCTGACTCTTGATTTTCTTTTTATCCCACTTGCCGTCCCCACCCCAGGTGGCTTCAGTATGCATACAGCAAACCCCCCACAACTTGTCTCTCCCGTGACCAAACTCACTTCTGGCTGCCCTTCCTGTGACAGAGGTAAAGATGGCTTACCCCTGTACCACTCAGACTGCGATCTATGGACAGATCGCATCAACAGCACCCGGCAGCTTGTTAGAAATGCAGAAGCCCAGGCCCACGCCCAGGCCTTCTGAGTCAGAATCTGTTTTAACCAATTCCCCAGGTCATTTATATGCACATTAAAGTCTGAGAGGCATTAATCTGCACCTTTCTGTTACCAGGCTCCAGAGTGTCGTCTCCTCGTCCTTCCTCCAAGGCCAACCCAGTCATCCTGTACCTTTCTCTTCTTTCTCCTGCCTAGAAACAGTATCAGGCCTCCCTTAACCTCAAACATACCTCCCTTTCCCCACATACCCTGTTCTTTTCACTTTTCTCTTCATCTCTGAACTTCCTAAAGGAGTTCTCCTTCCTCCCAGCATCCACTTCCTCACCTGCACACACCCGCCTTACTCCATTACACTCAAGGTGCTTCTTCACCGTTTCAGTGCGACTGCCCTTGTAGAGGTCCATGCCGATCCTCTCCCTGCCAGGTCCAGGGTCTTTTTTAGTCTTTATCTTACCTCTGCAGCATTTAGTGCCGTTACCCCTTTCTCCTCCGGACTTTGCTTCCAGGCCACCTACTGCTTCCACAACAGCTCTTCTCAGTCCCTCTGCAGAGCTCCTTCCTTGGCACGCTACTCTTCTGAAAGCTTCCCCGCGTCCATCTTCTCCACTCTCGTGGTTTCAGCTGTTTTCGATATATTACTGATGACGTCCCACTGTACCTCCTGCATTGTAGATCCGTTTTTCTAACCATTTATGAAACCCATTTCTACTCGAACATCTTGAAAGCACTTCTGGAAACACTTGCCATTAGCAGTAGCGACAGCAGCAGAGTCAGAGTCGTAATGGCTCACAGTTTACTCTGTGCCACAGATTGTGCTAAATGCTATCTATGCATTGTCTCATTTAATCCCCACACAAATCCCAGGATGTAGGTGGAGGTCTTATCCGTTGTGTACCTGGGGAAACTGAGGCTGGAAAGATTGGCCCAGGGTCACATAGCTGGTAAGAGCCTGAATGTAGAACAAGAGCCTGAGATCCATTCATTTTTTCATTCGTTCGTTTAAATTGAAGTGCAGTTGACACACAATATTACACTCGTTTCAGGTGCACAACGTAGTGATTTGACAAGGCTGCCTTATGCTGTGCTCACCACACAGTGCTGTCACAGTGTCATTGACTGTTCCCTGTCCTGTACCGTGTCCCATGACTCACTCCATAACTGGAGGCCTGTATCTCCCACTCCCCTTCACTCATTTTGCCCCTCCCCTGACCCTCCTCCCTGGCAACCTTCAGTTTGTTCTCTGTACTTATGGGTCTGGTTCTGTTTTTTAGATTCCACATGTAAGTGAAATCACGATATTTGTCTTTCTTTGACTTATTGCACTTAGTACAATACATCCTAGTTCCATCCACATTGTCGCAAATGGCAAAATCTCTTTTTATGGCTGCGTAATACCCCATTGTATATATACACCACCTGTGTCCATCCATCTGTCGGTAGACACTTGGTTTGCTTCCATAACTTGGCTGTTATAAATAATGCTGCAATATAGACAAGAGTGCATATGTCTTTTTGAATTAGTGGTTTCATTTTCTTTGCTAGTGGAATTATTGCATCATACAGTTTTTCTACTTTTAATTTTTTGAGGAACCTCCATACTGTTTTCCACAGTGGCTGCACCGATTTACATTCCCACCAACAGTGCGCAAAGGTTCCTTTTTCTCCACAACCACACCAACACTTCCTGTTCTTGTTCTTTTGATATTAGTCATTGTAACTAGTGTCATGTGATCTCATTTTGGTTTGCTTGCATTTCTCTGATGACTAGTGATGTTGAACCTTTTTTCATGTGTCTGTTATCCATCTGGCTGGATGTCTTCTTTGGAAAAATGTCTATTCAGGTCCTCTGTCCATTTTTTAATAGGAGCTATTTTTTTGGTTTCGAGTTGTATGAGATAGAAAGATAGATAGATAGATAATTATATATGAGCTATATAGATATCTATGATATTAACCCCTTATCAGATGTATCGTTTGCAGATATCTTCTCCCATTCCGTAGGTTGCCTTTTCATTTTGTTGAACAAAAGCTTTTTATTTTGGTCTAGTCTCAATAGTTTATTTTTCCTTTTGTTTCCTTTGCCTGAGGAGACACATCTAGAAAAATGTTGCTACACCTGATGTCCAAGAGGTGACTGCCTGTGTTTTCCTTTAGGAGTTTCATGGCTTCCTGTCTCACATTTAGGTCTTTAATCGCCTTTGGGTTTATTTTTGTGTATGCTCTAAGAAAGTGGTCCAGTTTCATTCTTTTGAAGGTAGATGTTCAGTTTTCCCAGCAACCTTTATTGAGACTGTCTTTTCCCTATTGTATATTCTTGCCTCCTTTGTCAAAGATTAATTGACCACATAACTATGGGTTTATTTCTGGGCTATCTGTTCTGTTCCATTGATATACGTATCTGGTTTTGTGCTGGTACCATACACTTTGATTAACGTAGCTTTGTAGTATATCTTGGAAGTCTGGGATTGTGGTGCCTCCAGCTTTGTTCTTTCTTAAGATTGCTTTGGCTGTTTGGGGTCTTTTGTGGTTCCATACAAATTTTAGTATTTATTTGTTCTAGTTCTCTAAAAAAATGCTTTGGTATTTGAGTAGGGATTGCATTGAATCTGTGGATTGCTCTGGGTAGTGTGGACATTTAAAAAAAATTTTTTTT